GTGTGGGCATGTTTCCGAAGTGCTTTAAAAATTAGAATTTTCAGGAAATCATTACCTTTAGAGTGAAAATAAGGGAATGTTACTAGAAGATCAAGCCATATGTTGGTAATATCCTACTTAGGTTGGGTGACAGGTACTCAGACTGGTTTTATTACTATTCATTGTAACTGGTTATATGTTTACTCATCTATATCTGTATCACACACCATCTTTTCTATGTATAAAATATTTCACAATAAAAGTGGAGGAAAAATAAATCTACTCATAGCTCAGCTGCTTATCATCACTTTTTACTTCTCTCCAGTTTTATTTGAGGAAGCTCTGTGGGTATAAATCTTCTGGCTGGTTTGTGGAAACATAATTGCTGTGTGATAAAACCTTTACCCACCATCCCAGCCCACAGGCACCTCACAGGTGAACCTGTGGCTGGAGGCCCAATCAGAAAAATTGTCATCACTAGGGGCTGGGGATTTAGCTCAGCGGCAAAGCACCTGCCTGGCAAGCGCAAGGTCTTGAGTTTGATTCCTGGTACCGGAAGAAAAGACAAAAAAAAAAAAAAAAAAAAAAAAAAATTGTCATCACAACTAGAAAAAAAATTAGACTTACTACTCTGTTGATTTAACCAATGTTGCAGGCTGTCAGGACAGGTTAGAATATGATAAAGATAAAAACGAAAACAGGGTTGTGGCCACTGGGCCACGGCAAGTTATTTTTTCAAAAGGCCCATAGAAAGGGAACACTATCAATGCCGTTGACCATATCTTGTCCTCTTGCCATGGCAAGCCAAGTTCTTAGCTTAATTACCTTCTGTTTGTCTTCCTTTCCTGACCTCGAGGGGGTGTAGGGACCCGCAGGTGCTGAAGTACCTCACCAGCACACTCTAGTCACATGTAGAACTGTTAACTCCTGAGTTTTTCTTCCCCCTTTCTAAACTGTAAATTCCCTGAGAAAAGGGAATTTGTTCACCCTGTGTATGCTAGCCCCTGGTATAGCACTCTGGTGCTCCTTTCAGACGGGCCCGGTTTCAACTTCAGCTCTGCATTTACTCCCTCGGTAAGTTTCTTAACCTCTCTGTGCTTTTATTTCCTCAGTGTAAAAGGGGAACAATAATAGTATGAACCAAGATGTGAGGATCAGTAAAACTACACATTTGCATTACTTAGCTCAGCAGCTGCTATAGCATATAGGTTGAGAATCCCTAACCTGAACACCCCGAACCCAAAATACTCCAAAATCTGAAATGTTTTTGAGTGCCAACATGACATCACAAATGAAAAATTCAACACCTGACTTATGGGTTCCAGTTAAAACACAGACACACAACATAGCTTATTCAGCATTCCCAGTGGAAAAAAGATCCATTGGGTGCTTTTAGTTACATATGCTAAATTTGCTTCATTCACAAAACTGTTAAAATATTCTATAAGATTACCCTTGGTCTATGTGTCTAAAGTATACATGAAACCTAAGTGAATTCTGTGTTTAGACTTGGGTACTTCCATATATCTCATTATAGATATGTATGCAATTATGCCAAAATCTGAATAAAAATCCAAAATCTAAACATTTCTAGTCCCAAGCAGTTTGGATAAAGGTACGGAATCCTCATAGGCTAAAGAAACATTGTAACAATAATGAGTTATTATTACCATACGGTGAGCAAAGATGAGGTAACCACGGAGAAAGAAGAGAAGTCTTATAAGAAGGCCGACTATGATTAAGTCCCCAGTCAGTGTGCAGGGAGTGTTTGGAAAAGTGGTCTGAATTCAAACTGCAGGACAGGCTGAGAAGGCAGGGTGCTGCAGTGTCACAGGTGTTCCCTGCCTCAGGAGGAGGTCAGCAGGCCAGTGGGATCTTGGGATCTTGGGGGTTGAGGTACATGAACAGGACTCACCAGAAATGAAACTGAAATATTCTGAACAACTAGCAAACTTAGTCTGACTCCTAACGGTGGCACCATTTAGAATTTGGTGAGCCCGTGGGGATATGCGGGGAGTGCCGTCCTCTGGGTCCTAGATGGCATCGCCGGGTCCTACGCTGCCAGGTCCAGCTCAGTCCAGTCTCCTACACTGGTGTTGGGGACCCACACCTTCCCTTACTGTTGCTCTTCTGTCTCCTCTGGGCAGACGGAAGTGCTACTTTTCTGGATATACAGCAGTTTCCCCTGAAGGCATGTTTCTCGTGATAATTATAACTATACATATTAATATCACTATGCAACCAGAGTCCCTACCTAATACCTTTTTTTTTTTTTTGGTACCTGGAATCAAACTCTGGACCTTGGGCTTACCAGGCAAGCACTGTACCACTGAGCTATATCCCTGGCTCCCTAATACCTTTTAATTGTAAAATCTGGTGTTTGTTTTATACCTGAATTTATATAATAAATGCTTAGTTCTAGGGCTGGGGTAAGTGCAAGCTCAGTGGCATAGCACCTGCCTGGCAACCGCAAGCTCATGAGTTCGATTCCCTGTACCAAAAAAAAAAGAAAGCTTAGTCCTTGAGTTACACACCAATTAGAATGACAGTACTGAGAGAAAACAGATTTTCATACTAAAAAGATTAATTATGTTAAGAATTATTTTATTTGGTTCTGCATTTTCCTATTTTGTGAATTCTTACAATGATCCTGTTGTTTATAAAACAAATTCATGAGGTGCCAGAAAATTGTGAGGATTTCAGTCTTATGGACTAATTTATTCTAAAATTTGTGGACTCACTCGGAGGCTTTTGGTATAAAAATAAGTAAAATGAATTTGAAAAGGATTAGAAGAAAGTGAAAATACTAATGCTTGTTAAAAGGAGCATTGGCCTGGGATAGAGTTCAGTGGCACAAGTGTCTGCCTGGCAAGCACAAGGTCCTGAGTTCAAGTCCCGATACCAAAAAAAACAGAGCATGGTTTACTGAAAATTCAAAGTAGCATATTCACAATAGCACAGACATTTACGACAATTAACTTCATAAATAGCTTATTCTAATAATATGGAAATATCTATAACTTTTAAATTATGAGTGACATTAGGCAAAACATGTAGCGGGAAACCTACACTGTCAGGATGTAAAAATACAAAACATTTAATGGATGCTATATAGCCTGGTAAGTATTATGTGTCAGATTTAAAGTAACAGATTTCAAAGTTATATTTCTTTAAAAAATATCAGTCGAGCAATTCTGGAATATAACATGTGGGCTATTCTCTATCTATTTTTCAAGTTGTCATCTCCCTTATAGGTCTGAAATTTACAACTGACTCTACTTTAAAAGGAACTTCTCAGAAGCAAAAGCCCTCAGCTGTGCACTCGCGGTAGCCCACACCTGTAATACCAGAACTTGGAAGGCTGAGTCAGGAGGACTGCTGTGAGTTCAAAACTAGCCTGAGCTACATAGCTAGACCCTATCTCAAAAAAACCAAATCAAACCAAACTAAACCAAAAACAAACAAATAAAAAAAACCAAAGAGGAGGGGGTGAAACGCCTCAAAACACTCAAAATTATTTATATTTTAGAATTTAAGAAAATCTGTTAGCTTTTTTTGTGTGTGTGTGTGTGTGTGTGTGTGTGCTTAGGATTGAACCCACAGCCTTGTACATGCCAGGCAAGTACTCTGGGACTAATTTACAACACCCGACTCGGGTCACCCCTTGTTATTTTCTCCATTAGTACCTAACACAGCCCAATACTCTCGCTTTACTGATAAATTTCCGGGGTCCAGAGACGTTAAACAACATAATCAAGGCCATCCGTGTCTAGTTAGTGGAAGACACGGAACTAGAACACGAGCCTCTCAAACTCTCAGAAAAGACACAAATCTTAGTTAAGGATGTAAAAATGAGTAAGTATTAACACTGTGAGGATGGTATGTTCCTTTCACAAGGAGGGAGCAGACCGGAAGTACCCCGGAAGCCGGTAAGGGGATTTCTGGGCAGAACCTTGCTTGGGAGCCAGCCGCTGTGCAGCCATGTGGTACCACTGCATGTCAGCGACCTCCGCGGAGAGCAGCGCTCTGGGTTTGCTCTTAAGGTTTCCTTTCTGAAATTTCCATTTGGAGTATGAGATTTTGAAATGACTAAAGTACTCTTGCCTTTGTTTAAACTGCCGCATCCCGCCAGAAATCCCATCTCGCACTGTAACACACGCATATACCTTTTCTCCGTGTAACTATCCCGTTACTCCACCTCTACGTCTCTAACCATCTCATTAAATGCCTTTTTGAACCGCAGTCCTCTGCGTAGTTCTAGGAAACACCACGTTTGGCTTCCCCAGAAAGACACAGAGAGGAGCACAGAGCAGGGTGTTTCGCTGGATCCCGGGTCCAGATTCCCAGGGATAGAAGGACCCTGGTCAGGCTTTCATGCTACTAAAGGCCCTCTGCCTCTTCGTCCCAAGCTAAATTACAATATCTGTGTCCAGTGTCCAAATTTACCTTCCTCATACTTTAAAATGAACAAGAGAAAATTTAGGAGGAAATGTTATTTTTAAAAAGAAGAAGCAGTGGTCTGCAAGTTTTAAAGGAAGGAAGCGCTGTCAGATGTCAAATTCTCACACTGTTCGCCTTCAACCTCACAGTGCCCTGAAATGCCGCCGGGAGCCCTCGGAACCGGCCCGTGGGGACACCGCGGGGCCCGCTGGACCCCGGGGCTCCAATGGGACCTGCTGGACCGGGCAGGAAACGGGTCCCACGGGTGCCACAGAACGCGGGCGGTCGAGACGAGCCCCGAGCCCCGCGCGCAGCGAGCCGGGCGGAGCGCCCAGGGGACCGGGATCCCGGGGGCGGGCTCC